AATCTTTTTGCAAATGGTAATATCAAAGATCATTGATCACAGGTTACCATAACAAACAATCATAATGAAAAAAAATTGGAAATATTGAGAGAATTATCAGAGACACAAAATGAGTAAATGTTGTTGGATAAATGGTATCAATAGACTTGCTTGATGCAGGGTTGCCACAGACATTCAATTTGTGAAATATACAATATTTGCAAGTCTTTTTTGTTTCTTAATGTAGGTATTTATTGCTGTGAATTTTTCCTCTTAGAACTAGTTTTACAACATCCCATAAATTTTGTTTCCATTTTCATTTTTCTCAAGATTCTTTTTTATTTCCCCTTTAATTTCTTCTTTGATCCATCAGTTGTTCAGGAGAGTATTATTTAATTTCCTTGTAGTTGTGAGTTTTCCAGTTTTTTTCCTGTTACTGATGTTTAGTTTCATAGCATTGTGGTCATAGAAGATATTTAGTATAATTTCAGTCTTCTTGTGTTTGTTAAGACTTGTTTTGTGGAAAATGTACTACTTGTGCTTGAGAAGAATATATATTTTGCTGTTGTTGGATAGAAAGTTCTGTATATGGCTGTTAGATCCATTTGTTCAAATTCATGGTTTCCTTAATGATTCTCTTTTTGGATGATATATCCATTGTTAAGAAGTGGGATATTAATGTCCCCAGCTATATTTGTATTAGTATATATTTCTCTGTTCAGTTCTGTTAGTTTCTGGTAACTGGATGTGTAAATATTTACAATTATGATATAACTGATTTCTTTTTGTATCTTTTTGTAATGACCATTTTTTGTCTCTTTATCATATTTACATTAAAGTCTATTTTGCCTGCTAAGTATAGCTCCCCTGCTTTTAGGGGTGGAGTAGGGAAGGCATGTATCATTTGCTTGACATATCTTTTCCCATCCTTTTTACTTTTAGTCTATGTGTGTCTTTAAGGCTAAAGTGAGGGTCATGTGGTGTTCTTGTTTTGTTTTAATCCATTCATCTTTTGATTGGATAACTTAATTCATTTACATTAAAATGATTATTGTACCCCAAAGGCTTCTTGTTGGGCAGGACTGGGAGCTACACTGAGCAGTGAGTGGAGCTATGATTCTGCTCCCCTGCCTGGATGGGGAGGTGGAGGGTGAGGGGAGGAAGACCAGGCTCCAGGACTGGAAGGGATCTTTGTTGGAGGTCTCAAGTCAGGCACACCTGCACCTTACTGATTCCTTGGTCAGATTTCATCACTGTCTTGGCTCTGTAGACTAGCAAATCCACTAGTTGGGACTACTACCTGGGCATTGTAGGTAGGACCTGGGTCTGTAAGATCTGAGTGTTTGTTGTTGCAAGTCCCTCCACTTCTTCATCACAATCTGATTCCCAGAGATCAAGCCCTTTAGATTCCCTTGTTATCCTCATGAAGCAAGACCTGAGTGGGACTCCCAAGAAGGGACCCAAAACACTAGAAAAGCTGGATGTCTACTGGGATCTCTTTTCTCACTGGGGAAACTGTAAGCTCAGGGGAGACCCATGCTGTGCTGGTGTGGGGTAGAGGCCATGCGGTCAGCATGTAGCATCTCCTTTCATCCTTCTAATGTGGTCTATCTCAGTCTGTGTGGTACAGCGGGTGCTTTAGTCTCACCCACCATACTCTAGGATTTTCTCAGCAGTGTCTTATCCATGAGTAGTATTTGTCCTCATGAGGAGGAGTGCAATTGGGAATGACTTATGTCACTATATTGGTGACATCACCCCTAAATTTGTTTTAAGCCAATAAGTTTGTAGTCACTTTTTCCAGCAAGAATAGGAAACTTAATACATGCATCCTGGTGAGTTACCAGTTATACCACTTCTTTCAAAGTTTGTCCATGACCGGTCACTGCACATCTGTCATTTACTTTACATATAGACAGTAAGGGCTTCCCCGGTGGCTCAGACAGTAAAGCATCTGCCCGCAATGCGGGAGACCCGGGTTCAGTCCCCCAGTTGGGAAGATCCCCTGGAGAAGGAAATGGCAACCCACTTCAGTACTCTTGCCTAGAAAATTCCATGGATGGAGGAGCCTGGTGGGCTACAGTCCATGGGGTTGCAAAGAGTCGGACACGACTGAGTGACTTCACTTCACTTCACAGAGAGTAAAGCATGTAACAATGTTGACTTGGGCTTCCTAGGTAGCTCAGATGGTAAAGAATCTGCCTGCAATGCAGGAGATCGGGGTTTGATCCCTGGGTCAGGAAGATCCCTTGGAGGAGGAAATGGCTACCTACTCATGCCTGGAGAATTCCAGGCATGAAAAACCTAGTGAAGGCAAAATTATCAAGATAATTGAGGTAAATGGTTGTCACTAAAAAGATGAAGCTATCCTAGAGAAAGTGATTCTAGCAAAAAACTATCACTTATTAAACCTACAAATTTACTGTAATTTCAATCAGTCTCAACAGGAATTTTTTTTTTTTTTTGAGATAGGTAATATCCTGAAATTCACCTACAGAAAAAAACTCAGTACCTATTAAACTAAACTAAAAAAAAATCATTAGGGCATATTATAAAGATTGTAGTAATTTAAGAGTTTGATAAGGACATAGAAATAGACAAATAGATTATTTGGGCAGACTATTCATTTGCTATAAAAGGAGAGGACAGTGTTATTAAATGCAAGTAAATCAATAAAACTGAAAATATTTTTATGTTTATTTTGAAATAACTTCAAACCTAAATAAAAATTTTAACAATAGCACAGAGACACTCACTCAGGTGAGAAACGACACTTAAGTTTTGTGAATTGGGCCAATTATGTCTTACATAGCAAACGGGTCCAATTTCAGATCTTGTGTCATGTTTACTTGTCATGTCTCCTTAAATTCAGAACATCATCTTTCCTGTACTTTCATAATCTTGGAAGTTTGAGTACAGGCTAGTTATTTTATAGAATGTCTCTCAATTGAGTTTTATCCAGTGTTTCCAGATGGTGCATTGGCAGCATTATCACAGAGGTGATGCTGTTTTTTTCATTACATGCTTATCAGGTGTACATGATATTCCCTTAGCAGTTATGGTAACATTTATCACCTGATTAAAGTAGTGTCTGCCAGGTTTCTCCAGCGTAAAATTATATATGTATGTGTGTGTATGTCAATGTATATATAATGATTAACAAGTACTTTTCATGAAGATATTTTGAGACTGTAAATATCCTATTCCTCCATGCCATTTTAACTATTTTTAGCATTCACTGGTATTTGTTGCCCATGTTATTACTACAGTGGTTGCCAAAGAGAAATTTTAAAATTCTATCCACATTTATTGGTTGACATTTTACAGTAAAGAAAAGCTCTCTCTTTTCCTAATTAATCACTTAACATCAGTGTGGGCTCATGAGTTATTTTATTAAATTACTATAATTACTCTTGATACACAAATTATCCCTGATTTGGCTTGTATATTCCCTTTCAAGCTGACTTATGTGTCCTTCTGACACATCCACATGGTTCATTGAGTATTTTCTGGCACAAAAACATGTTCTAACCTTGAAACCAGCTATTTCTTCAAGAAGCCCCAGTTCCTTTAGAAAAGTGTTCAGAAATTAAAGTCTAGGTACTAGGTGTGCTCTTGGTTCCTTGGCTAATGCTCCCAGTCCTCCCAGTGTTTGGAACTAGGATATGCATGTGTACAACACACACACTTTTTAAGTATCGTGTGTGTGTGTAAAAATCACACAGGCGGTTCAAATTCTAATACCACGGGGATTATTTTCGCCTTCCCTTTTATTTGTACTTCTCCAACAGGGAGAAACTGGCTTCCTGCATCCTCAGTAATTTACTTAATTGCTCCATCTCTAATCTCTGATCTGCTGGGCTGGCCTCTGCCCTGCTCAGTGCCTCCGTCACAAAGGCGCCGCTTAGCCTGAGGGCTCACCCTGCTCCTCACTCCAGCTCTGTCCTTTTGCTGTCCTTCATCCTGTTCAGTGCAGTCCCTTTATGGACTGTGATAAACAACCTGCTCAGGTTGGTTGACTTTTGGACTGAAAGAACGGAAAAAGAGAAGAGGAAGGGAAGAATGAGGGAGAAAAGGAAGGGGAAAAGTGAAATCAGTATTTTAGACATTGAATTACAAATCTATGAATCCTGAGTGATTGTAATTCAAAGAGGGTGAAGAAGTAAATGGATCCTTTTGAGAAGGTTCTGAAGGGGAGACTGGGTATTTGGATTTTTGGAGAGTTTGTCTTCATAATTGTACTTTTAATCAAAAAATGTCCTTTAGGCTAGGATTGGTTTTTTTCTGCCATCTTTGTACAGAACCAAAACTAGGAGGGAAATGGTGGTGGTGGGAAATATTTTCTGAGTAATTAGACAGCATTTGAAAAAATAAGATTAATTTGCTAAGGCCACAGTGGAGGTAAATACAAAGAAAATGTATGAAGAGGAATTAACCATGCGGATGAAAGCCAGAGGAGCAGGAGAATGCAGTTTCCTGGGGGACTTTTGGAGGTGCAGGTTAGTGTATGTTCATGATGTAGGTGGGAGTATAAGCCTATAATAGATTATTTTCTTTCTTGCATGGGATTAAGGTTTGAACTTAAAAAAAAGTGAGGAAGTGGCCATGAATGTTGAATTTGTAAATACATCTTATTTATTTCTCCCATTTTAGATTAATAAACTAGCAAAATATTTCAGTTTGGGGAACTTTGCTGTAGTCGTTCAGTTGCTGAGTTGTATCTGACTCTTTGCAGCTCCATGGACTGCAACACGCCAGGCTCCTCTGTCCTCCACTATCTCCCGGAGTTTGTTCAAATTCATATCCATTGAGTTGGTGATGTTTAGGTTTTATTTCCCCTTTTCTATTTTACTTCAAATCCATATACTGTAAATAGCTCCCCCACCCACCTTCCCTTTTTGAAACAGTTATAGCTTGCAAAACCATGGTTCACAGTGTTGCAAATGAGGGTCTTACCTTTGTCCATACTTGATCTTTGCAACAATCATTAGTGGTATATGACATCATAACATAAGAGAGCATCTATGTACAAACATATACAATTTTATTGATATCTCTACAGACTACAAGAATTTTAAGTATAGTCACAATTGCTGAGTGCAACAGAAAAATAGTAATTTGTTTTCTGAAAAGATGCAAAAATTCTGAAGATGAAAGAAAGATACATCAATGATGTCATCTGTTTCTTATTTCCTAGAATAAACCATCACATAATTAAGTACTAAAAATTATAGGTTATTAGAGATTTTGATCCTGTGTACACTTGTCAATAACCACCACCTAGTTCATTTTCTGGCTTTGTAGTTGAGAAGGATGGGCCAGTACCATAGGGGAGCAGTGTGAGATGAGAGAATGGAACTTCCATTTTTTTCATTGACTGGTATTTCCTTGGATAGGTGGACTCTCCCATTTTGAAGGTGAAAGCACTTTTTCAGGGCACTGGAGGCCACATAGTGAGTTGCAGGCCTTCTTCCTTTAAACACATGTCTAGTAACTTAAAAAATAAATCCAAAATCCTTTGCCCTGGGAGCAAAGACAACAATCAAAAAGGGAGAGATGTTCTCTTTTCTTGCTAAGATCAAGTTCAATAAAATATCACTATGGCAGAACAGGTAGCTGGTACCCATGTCTCCTCCAAATGAAGAATGAGTAATAAATTTGGACCTGATTTAGTATATGATTGTTTTGAGAATTTCTGCTATCCAACTAGTAAGAATTAGTTTTCCACTTAGTGTTAATGCTATTGAACTTTTACGATATCTCTGGTGTCTTTTGATGTCACATGTATAAGGCAATAAAAATCTAGATGTTTGAACTGGAATAATTAGTGGCAAAGTCACTAGGAGACAATCACAAAGACAGAGTTAATAAGAGTTAATGGAGCATTGCCTGGTCAGAAATTTGTTCAGAAGATTTGTTTTGGGTTGCAACACAGATATCAATCTGGCCAACACTGTATCTCCAATATCTTACTTTCCTTGATGCCTCAGAAGTGGGGCTTGAACACTGGCCAGTATAGACAAATGTGTCTTCCGTAGTAGTGGTGATCAACCTTGGCTGGACACTGGAACTATCTTGGAGCCTTTCAAAAGTACTGATGTTTGGTTTCCACTCTGAAAAATTTTGGTGTAACTGGGAATTTTAGAAGCTCCTTAGGTGATTCTTATGCACAGCCAAAGTTGAGAATCACTTCCCTACGTAAAACAGACCAGCTGTGCTTCAGTTCTCCAGCAAAGCTTCTCCTGCTTCACTCTGGCTCCCAAGTCTGTCTCTGCCTGAGCCTGCCTGTACCAAGTTGGCACTTGTTCTTCTTCCCCAAGTCAGACCCTTCCTGTTTTGCATTTTGTCCTTTCAGGGCTATGTTGTGTGCAAATATATACAATAAACTTCTACAACCATGCTCCCTACAATGGTGCAATCCACATACGTGACCTACTGGCATGTATTTCTGACATCTGGAGCACTGTGTCTGTGAAACAGTAACTGCTCAGAAGTGGAGTTGGGGCTCTAGAGGACAGAGGTGAAGAAGCTGCAAAGCTACCATGTTTCTCCTGATGGAAAGAGCAAGACCTGGCAAAAATGTTGACCTGTTTTGGCATTGCCCTCTCTGAACAAAGGTGATCAAGTTACAATGTCTTCCCACAAGGACAGACTATAATCATACATATAAACTCCTGGGTTGTCCCAATGATCCTAAACCAATGAGAGGATTTTTAGTTTACTCTTCTAAATCTGCTCCATTTTCCCCTTCTGCCAAACAATTTATAACCAGATTATAGCTGGTTAGCTCAAAGAGCTAATCTTAATCTTCTTCAGCCAATCTTGGACATAATCTTTATTTTCCTTTTCCTTTCTTAAAGCCATGGTAACCCCTTAATGCAGATAACAGACATATGGTTCACATTTTTATAAAAGGACTCCAACAGTAAGCTTTTTCCTTTATAATCCCTTAGTATCTTTGAGTAGCAGAGACACTGGATTCTGATTTATTGAGAATCATTTGAAAGCTATATGAAAGGTTTGAAAAATTATCTTTATGATTAAATTATCAGAAAACATCTCACTCAGTTCTGTCACCATTCTTCCAAAGTTATTCAGACAGTGGCCCTGATGATGACTAGGGCAGTAAGTCTGGGTCTCAGTGAAGTGTAGGAAGCAGAGGTGATAGTACTGCTTTCACAGGGGATTAAAATAAATGATGAATCAGTTATCCATCCCTCCAAACTCCAGGGTTTTTAATGGATAAATTTAATGGTAGGGATTATTGCTGGCATTATTTGAACCAGGAAAACATACTTCCAACTTCTCATGATGAATTATAATGCTAAAGACCTATTCTCCTGGGACACAAAGAAAGGCTTCTCTCTTTAGGGAGTCATAAGGAGATAAGGTCAACTTGTAGAGACTGCAAGCCTTATCTTCTGGTGTCACCTTAAGCAGACAAAACGTAATTTAATGACAACTAAGGCTCAGAGTCATTTCTCTATCATTGTTCAAGTTACTAGGAGTATTTTTCTTATGTTTCAAGGTAGAGGCAAGACATTTAAATAGTAGAGAAGAGAGATGTAAAGTATTCCATGCATACTAGTAGTTGTTTTCCAAAGATGATGATGATGATGATGATTAGGTGGTGGTAGTAGTATGTATGTGTGTGTCTGTGTGCGCATGTGCTAAGGTCAGTGCAACAGAACAGAAATGTTCAAAGAGAAAAATCACATCCATATCACATTCTTGTTATTGCTATCTCTTTGAATTATAAAAATAATTTTGATACAGTAAAACCTCATTAATTTGTATTCCACTAATCGCAAGTTTGTGGGATGAAGTTACCCTTACATTAAGAAAGGGTTTATAAAAACTCTACTGAAAGACAAAAAGAACCTCTTTTCAAGCATTTCAGAAGCACGTTACTTCTAATTGATGTGCCAGTTATAAACTTTTGGTCTATTCATTAAAGCCAGAGTTTTAAGCACTTCTGTGAAATGTTATTTTGTCCTTTCTGGTAGGTTTTTTTTTTTTTTTGTATGCTTTAAAATATTCTGTATTTGTTTTCTTTCACAAAATTAATTTGCTCTTGTCAGAATTCCTCAAAACACTTAAGAAAGTGCCACTTTAAACAAATTCACCAGAAGTTTAAAAACTAAAAAAAAAAAAAAAAGCAGAAATACTATTTTTGGCTACTAAAAGATCCTGGACTTAAGGAAAATGGTGAATTCTGAAGAAACACAATGTAAGCCTATTAAGAACTTGAGTAACCAAAATTCAATGAGCTGAACCCATTAATTTTCTTTAAAAAGATTCTTTTTGAAAGAACAACATACATATTATTGGATGGGTCCCAGAGTCTGCATATATTCATTTCCTGTGACCTGACTTCCAGAATCATGTTAAATAATGGTAGCAGGTGTCTTGTTGGCCTCTACTACGTCTGTATTCTGATAGATATCTTTTATCATATTAAGGATATTCTTTATTCCACTTTTAAAAGAGTTTTTAATAAGGAATAGGTGTTTGTTATCTATTGACATAATCCTGTAGCTTATGTTATTTAGCTTATCAAGTGACAAAAGTGTTGATTTTGTATCATTACACTCTCTATGTATTTCTGTCATCCATAATGGTGACTAAACCCAAGCTAGCAAAAACATCACCACATTTTATAACCTGGTAATAATATTGAACCAAAAAGCAATTTCTAATGAAAGCCCTTATTAATCAGAAATGTCAGAATCTCTTTCCTAAAACATTAGCTGAGGTTTTACTGAATCAGACTAGAGAATGACCAGTTTGGTCTGTGAGTATCAGGCTGCAAGAGCACCTTTGAATTGAAGACCCCATGGAGATTAAACAGTAATATACTGTGTAATTGGCAGACAAGGATACAAATGGAGCATTAAAAATATATCACTTTAGAAACTGAAACCAGAGTGTGTGAAATCAGTTCTCAAAGCTAACAGCATTGTTCTTGTAATTCTAGTTTCCCCAAACCTATTGTCAACTTCCCTGCAGAGTATAAGCCAAGCTGAAAATATGCTTCAAGGTGACCCCACCCTGCATTGGTTGTGACTGAAAATAGCAACTTGTTTTGAAGGTGATGGAAATAATTGTGTTAGGAATAATCTACTGTACTGGCTATATTTGATTATGACTGAGAACTGTGAATAATGTAAAATATTATGGAGAGAGAACAATATTAATCAGACTCTTGACATAGGAATTCAATAATGTCCTAGTATATAATGAAAGTTATAGATGACAGAAAACTCTGGTTTTGTTTGCTTTGTAAGTTGGGTATTGCAAATGTACTGATACCTTCTAACGCAGATTTTTTTTTTTTTAATTGTCAGGTGTGGCCCAATTTATAAAAATAGTTTACCATAAATCTTTTTTTTTCTTCTGTCACAACATGCTTTTTTCTTTTCCTCTTAAGATGTTAATTTATCATGCAGTTTTTTTTCATTAAGTGCATTAATGCTTTTTGTTTGTACAGGATTTTTTCAAATCAGAAGGACTCCCCGTAGTTCCTAAATGTAAATCCTTAGCAAACAACATGCCAAGATGATAGCTCCATTCCATGTGGGAAAAGGCAAATTCAGCCATATCTTGGGATTTTAACCAGGATTCCAGCCTTGGGTTGCACAATGTCTCTGATAAGTCTCCCTTATGATAACTTCAGATGGACTGTAATGGAACATTTTGTAGAAGAAACTGGCTTCTAGCAGTTGAATATTGATGCTGGGAATAAATTTGGTTTCCCTGAATAATGGTTTCTCAAAGCAGTCATAGCTTCTTTAGAAGTTTAGAATTGGTACCATTTCTTATCCTTATATTTCAGCATTAACTGCAAAGAAAAAATAGTCACATAAGATGTTAAAAAATATTTAAAAGTGCTAATCCAAGCTCATGTTGAGCACATCATACATACCAAAACCTCAAACTTCTAAAACGACCTTTATATTGTGAAATAAACTAAAGACATATTTTTGAACTGCAGTCAAGCTCTAAAGAGTTGCCTGAGAGGAAATGATTTTTAATGATTGAGACAAAAAGGAATGTGTGAATTCAGCCTCTGCTGCCCCTCACACCTTCTTGCCGGGGATCGTATAATAAACCTAAGTACCTCTTTAGATTCTGATACACTGGGTGTATCAGAACCAAGAGATAATTTTCTTTAAAGCCATCTTCTAAGGTAAAGAACTATTAATATAATACTTTAAAAAAACACTTTTTTTCTCCCCAATCCAAGGAGAATTATAATACATACAGCAAGGTCCCAGTTACCTTGGCTGTCACATGTGATTACTTAGAGTGGCATCTCTGTTTAGGCTCTCTTGTGCAGAACATAAATGTTTAAAGTTATTACTGGATGAAGATGCCTGTATTTACATAGGCAGCTTACCTCGTGTGCATGTTTGGAAAATGCCTCTGCACTGGTCATCATGCCTGCAGTTTTCTCTTCCAGCTCTCCTAGCCTCTGTCCTCTCTCATCAAGTGCGATCCGTGCACGAGTCAGCTCTCCCATCACCCCTCCGGCAGCGCCTTTCATCCCTTCTATACCACCTGGTCCAGGAATGTGCTGTGCGAGGCTGCGTGACGCTTTTCCTGCAGAAGCTTCCCCAACTGGGAGTTCAAGCAATAGCAATTTAAAACACTTTTTCAGTAATTCAAGTAAGTATAGTCAGGCTTATGACCAAACAGAGTACTTATATTGAATTTTATTGTCATAATTCTCACAGAGAGACATATTTGTTCTGGTCATAGATATATATGTATTTGGAGATGTTAGCATTTACCCCCAAAAAATGCCTATGAAAGAGACTGAGATACTGTTACCATGTTTTATTGTGTATGTGGGGGAGGGGTCCATACAGTATGACATAATTGCATTTCCTGACATTACTGCATTGGTATACTCAATATTATTGTGATCTCATATTTAACCCATATTAGTTCCGTATCTGTTCCAATTTCAGGCCTGATGATTCTGCCCAGCTGGGCATTCCAAATCTTCCATGTTCATCTTCCTATCAGTCTTTGTAGCCCTCAGTTGTTTTTTTTTTTTTTAAATCTGAGTGTGTGTGTGTTTGTGTGTCTGTGTATATACTAGAAAATGGGGTATATATGCATTATGGGCACTAATACACATATGTTGAAACTTTGTTACTTTATAAAAAATTAAAAATTTCCCCATCATTTATAAAACTCAGTTTTACTTAATTTTAATGAAGTAACTTTGGAAAAGATATACCCATTTGAATGCAGAGTTCCAAAGAACTGCAAGGAGAGATAAGAAAGCCTTCCTCAGTGATCAATGCAAAGAAATACAGGAAAACAATAGAATGGGAAAGACTAGAGCTCTCTTCAAGAAAATTAGAGATACCAAGGGAACATTTCATGCAAAGATGGGCATAATAAAGGGCAGAAATGGTATGGACCTGACGAAGCAGAAGATATTAAGAAGAGGTGGCAAGAATACACAGAACTGTACAAAAAAGATCTTCACGACCCAGATAATCACAATGGTATGATCACTCACCTAGAGCAGACATCCTGGAATGTGAAGTCAAGTGGGCCTTCGGAAGCATCACTACGAACAAAGCTAGTGGGGGTGATGGAATTCCAGTTGAGCTATTTCAAATCCTAAAAGATGATGCTATGAAAGTGCTGCACTCAATATGCCAGCAAATTTGGAAAACTCAGCAGTGGCCACAGGACTGGAAAAGGTCAGTTTTCATTCCAATCCCCAAGAAATGCAATGCCAAAAATGCTCAAACTACGGCACAATTGCACTCATCTCACATGCTGGTAAAGCAATGCTCAAAATTCTCAAAGCCAGGCTTCAGCAAGATATGAACCATGAACTTTCAGATGTTCAAGCTGGTTTTAGAAAAGGCAGAGGAACCAGAGATCAAATTGCCAACATCTGTTGGATCATTGAAAAAGCAAGAGAGTTCCAGAAAAACATCTATTTCTGCTTTATTGACTATGCCAAAGCCTTTG